TAGGGTGTGGCTGGAGGAGACAGGTCACTCTGGGTATGCCTTTGGGGTTTATATTTTGTCCTTGATGAACAGAGCTCTCTCTGCTTCCTGATGGCAATGTCCTGAGTTGTGTTCCTCCTCACCACCCTTCCACCATGACGTTCTGCATCATCTYGGGCCCAGAGCAATGGAGTCAACCATCTATGGACTGAGACTTCTAAAACCAGGAGCCAAATAAACTTTTCCTCCTCCAAAATTATTCTTATCAGGTCTTTTGGTWACAGTGAAGAAAAGCTAAATAAAACACTGAGGATGTAACTCAGCAATAGAGCATTTGCCTAGATGTGTGAGTCCCTGGGTTCTATCCCCAGTACTGCAACAAAACAGCTCACTAAACAATACTTTATCCCTATATATGTGACAAACTGTATTTCAGAAGCAACGAAAGGGTAACACAAATCAGGACAGTGTTAACCTGAACTAGGTTCAGGACAGTGAGACGGGACAAGACAGCATAGAGACAAATGGAAGTTACTGCCAATAGTAGTATTTCTGGATTAGATAGCGGGTGCATGGATGTTTATTATCCCTAAAACTGAATAAATGAGGGAGAGAAGAAAGTACTACAAAATGATCAGTGAGCAACCAGGGCAATAGTCCAGGGGAAGGTGAAGACACACTGGAGAAAAGCATCACACCTGAGATATCAGGAAGTAGAAATGACAGGACTGGGTAATTGGTTGGATGTGGGGACTAGAGGAGAAGGAAGACTTATAAATGATTCTCAGATTTCAGGTTTAAGAAACTGAGTGGACAGTGGGATCATTTCATGAGAAAGGGTTCCACAAGTTTATGATGTACTGCATGAAGCTTAGGGTGACCACTGCAGTTGTCTCCCTCATATCTAATCTACCCATTCCTACCACAGAGTAGCATGTGGTCAAAGTGAGATTAAACCATTCTCTGCTCCAGAGACACACCCCCTGATGTGTTTGAGCTATGAGACACAACACCTCCATATATCTGACCTAACRGCACAGTTCCAGAGGGAAGTTCAGCTACTTCTGTTTGATGCTGAGAAAAGGTGGCTCTCTCCCTCTACCTATACCTAAAAAAGGATGCATTTAGTGGCTGCTAGCAAGCATTTCTTGAAGTCAGCCTAAGGGTGAACCTGATARGAAGGCATAGCTGGAAGCAGAGTAAGGAAATGAAGCCAGGGCTTAATGCAACCAAGATCYAAGGCCGGCCTCCCTCTGGCCCCAGTTACTGTAAAAGCCCATGTAAGCAGCTTTCTCTTCCTCACAGCTAAAGACACTGAACTAATACCAARAGCTGAAACAGAAAGGGGTCTGTAAGTAAAAAGCACTAGAATGTGAAAGTGTCTCAATGCAGAACAGGAAGGCAGATCTCTCCCTCCTGCTGGGAATGTAGATAGTCAACTTCTGCCCCGTGGTTGGACCAGACCACAGGATAACCTGCACTGCAGTGGTGGGGGACCCAAGAGGTGGGAAGAAGAGGCTATCCACCATGTTTTTGCTAGTTTTTGTGGCTTTCGCCAAGGTTGTGCACACAGGTGTTTGTAATGGAACTCTGTATTTTTCAACGTTTTAAAATGTGAAGTGTGTTAAATGTAACATTACATAAAGTATGTGATGTTAAGATGTAAAGTATTTAAAACTCAAGCATTTAAAAAATTAAATCCTCAGAAAATACTATTTCTGGAAGGAAGTCTCAGACCCCATTTGTTCCTTTGTTTTAGGGTCTTATAATCTATTATAATAATCAGAAACCATTTGGCAAAAAAAAAAAAGAATATAAATTTGAAAGTGAGGAAAGTTAAGATTAAATAATATTTGCCTTCAATTTTAACCTTGAGGAATTATGAAATACAAAACCTGACTCAGTTGAAATAACTAGGTAATCTGCATATCAAAGGGACTCTCCAGCCTAAATAAATTGACCATTMAATAAAAAGGCTAATACTTGAAGTATTTAACAACATAATGCTCTGATTTTCTAAAAATTCTGATAAACAGATCCTTTCTTTTTTCCAGTATAAGAAGGTCAATTTTAGCTGGACATGGTGGCACACACCTGTAATCCCAGGGGCTTGGAAGGCTGAGGCAGGAGGATCAAAAGTTCAAAGCCAGCTTCAGCAACTTGGCAGCGCCCTAAGCAACTCAGTGAGACCCTCTCTCAAAATAAAAAATAAAAAGGGCTAGGAAGGTGGCTCAGTGGTTGTGTGCCCCTCAATTAAATCCCTAATACCCCCACTCCCCCAAAAAAGAAAGAAAGCCAATTTGGTTTTTTTTTCCTAATATTTTTAGTTGTAGATGGACACAATGCCTTTATTTTATTTATTTGTTTTTATGTGGTGCTGAGGATCGAACCCCGGGGTTTACACGTGCCAGGCAAGTGCTCTACCGCTGAGCCACAGCCACAGCCCCAGAAAGCCAATTTTAAATGTCTAGAGAGTTAAATAAGTTCCTATCATATACAGATGTCAAGGTTAGTGAAGACAGGATAACGGATTCTAATACCCATGGTCAAAGTGTTAAACATATGGACTTGAATATCACCAAACTCACCCTCCTACTCGTCACTCACTCATCTTTCTGGATTTGCAAGTGTTTTCAGCATGCTCATCTACCCATCTGTCTTCATCTGGTTGACTGTCCAGTTACTCTTTTTGTCTTTTTCTGCACATGTCCAGTTCTCTCTGAATCCATCCTAGGATATCTGTGTGCCTTCTGCTCCTATGTTTCTATCTTTTTACTCTTCCTTTCCTCCATTCTTTAGCCATTTGCTATGGTCTGAATGTCTCTGTCACATGAGAGCATGAGAAGGTGGGGTATTTGGGGGGGGGGGKGACTAGGTCTTGGGAGGGAAGCCCTCATGAATGGGATTAGTCCCCATATAAGAGGCCGGGCTGGGGAACATAGCTTAGTTGGTAGAGTATTTGCTTCCCATGCACAAAGGCCCTGAGTTTGAGCTCCAGCACCAAATTAAAAAAAAAAAAAAAAGAGGCCCCAGAGAGATCCCTTGCCCCTTTCACTATGTGAAGATACAGCAAGTTGTCATCTAAGAGCAGAATGCAGGACCTTACAACATACAATCTCTCCCATGTTCTTGGACTTCCAGCCTCCACAACTGTCAGAAATATATTTCTGTTGTTTATAAGCAACTGTGTTTATGGTGCTTTTTTTTCTATTTTTTATTGGTGCATTACAGTTGTGTATAATAGTGGAATTTGTTATTACATACTCATACATACACACAATGTAACACTATAATTTGGCCAATATCATTCCCAGGTACTTCCTTTTCTCTCCCCCTCGGCCCTCCCCTTGGTCCCTTTCCTCTACTCTACTGATCTCCCTTCAATTTTCATGAGATACCCCACCCGCACCTTTCCTTTCCTTTTCCTCTCTAACTTCCACATATGTGAGAAAAAATATACAACCCTTGACTTTCTGAGTATGGCTTATTTCATAATTATTTCATAATTTTCCTGCACATGACATAATTTCATTCTTCTTTATGGCTGAATAAAACTCCACTTTGTATTTGTACCATATTTTCTTTATTCATTCATCCAATGATGGACACCTAGGCTGATCAGTTTAACATATTTTCTTACAGCAGCTCAGACACCATAGTATTTAACTTGATGTGACTATTGAATAAAAGTTTTTAATCCCTGCTTATCATTTTTAGATAGTAGATTCTTTTTTAACATTTATGTTTTAGCGGTGGTTGGACACAATACCTTTATTTTATTTTTATAAGGTGCTGAGGATCGAACCCAGGACCTCACACGCGCTAGGTGAGCACTCTATCGCTAAGCCACAATTCCAGCCCAGGTAGTAGATATTTTTATTTCTGACTTTTTATAAAAGTGCTTCTTAAATTGATTTGTGTTGTGACCCCTTGAACTGACATACACAGTGGGTCAGTGTCATGATAAGGTGCTGCTTACTCATCACAGAATAACAATTTTYACTAAGGGTTCTTATCCTCAGATAGTGTAAAATTAAGCTTATGGATTCACTGATCTACAAAAAAGTGGCATTAGGATTCTGGGACTCATGTCTCTAGGATRTTCTGATTTTAATAATACAAATTTCCTTTAAATAATTTTCTATTAAATATCTATAATATATAATCAGGTAACATCTTATAAACATGTTGTACACTTAGTAACTATCTAATTGTGACCTAACTTTGATACAAAGTTTTACTTTGATACAATTAGTTTCATCACTAACTCACAGAATTTTCACTGTTTAAAGTATAATTAATAACATTTTACAAAGGTATGAACTCAAAGTAAGCCTAGAGAGAAAAAAAAAAAAATGAAGCAGATAGAATTAATCTATCCAAACCAAACAGCCAACAGAGTAACAGAAAGCAGACATATGAGCTCTTAGCTCCTGGAATGTAACTGCTAGCTTCTGTTTCCATCCTGCATGATTGGTTTGGTTTTGTTTTTCATAACATCAACTTAATTCTCTAYGAATACAAGTGTTTCAATCATTTAYATTTTAATTTGGGATACATTTAAATAATTTTCTTCTCTTGATGTAAGTTTACCAATGTCCTGCACTGAAAAAAAAAAAATTTTAATAGGTTCCTCGATATTTATAAAGACAAAACAAGATACTTTAGTCCAAAGGCACTTAATGTTACAGATTAAAGAAAAGATATCTTAAAAGTCAACTAGAAAGCCTCATAATCACACTCACAACTTAGATATATGTCACTGGAGAGGGAACAACTAGGTTAAGATATCTGCAATTGAACTCAACAACATGTCAAGCATTGTGATTCTCCTTGATACTAGAGAGCTTAACATGAGGTGTTCCAGGACAGTTAAGTCACTGTTGACTGGATAGAAGGGACTTATACTGACSAACTTCCCTTTTAACTGTGATTCTAAGTGGACTAGCCTAAAGCAGTATAGAAACAGAGCAATGAAGTGACAGGTGTTCCTAGAGTAAAGCAAGCGTGGAAGGTACTACCTGTCATAAGCGGCAATCATAAAGTTGAGGAGGAGGCTGATGGACTGTTCCACACTGATTTGGTGAGTAGAAGGAAGGCGCTTATTCAACTGATAGTAGATGGATGAGATGACGGTTTCCAGGCGGGACACACTGATCTCGGTGCTATGGTCCAGTGTATTAAGGCCATTGTCTCGAAAGGCTTCGATCATGTTCCAGATATCAACCAGATGAACTAAAACATGAAGAAAATAAGCTGTCAATAATTTTAAAGTATGGTGCTCCATTCACAACTGGACACTTACATTTATCAACTAGTTTTTTAAGTTTAAAATATAGAATCTCAGGCTGGGGCTCAGCAGTAATGCACTTGCCTGGCATGTGTGAGGCACTGGGTTCAATTCTCAGCACCACTTAAAATAAAAAAATAAAAATAAAAAATTTCATCAACAATAAAAAATATTTTTTAAAAAATATACACTCTTTAGTCAACAAAGAGAAACACATTCTATGGGATGATAGTCTCAGAAGTCATCAAGAAGCCACTATAAACTGGGTGCAATAGCACTTATCCCAGYGACTCAGGAAACTAAGGTAGGAGAATCCCAAGTTCAAGATCAGACTCAGAATTCAGAGAGAACTTAGCAAACTTTGTCTCAAAACTAAAAACTTAAAAAACACTGAGGATGTAGCTCAGTGGGAGAACACCCATGGGTTCAATACCCAGTACAAAAAAGAAGCCACTGTGGACCAGGATGGACCATCTGCACTTTTATATTTGAATAACTGGTGAATTTGAATAAYGTGCTTGCCTAGCATGTGTGATGCACTGGGTTCGATTCTCAGCACCACATAAAATAAAAAATAAATAAAAATAAAGGTCCATCAACAACCAAAAAATATTTTTAAAAAAATTTAATGGAGGGATCAAGAAATATTCATAATGGGGCTGGGGCTGGGGCTCAGTGGTAGAGCACTTGCCTGGCATGTGTGAGGCACTGGGTTTGATCCATAGCACCACAGAAAAACAGAAAACAAATAAAATAAAGGTGTCCACCTATGACTTAAGGAAAACAAATTATATATATATCTTTTTTTCGTAAGAACTTTCGCTCTTTTTAGTAACTTGCTACATTATCTCAAGTCACCTTATTTTAATACTTTAGCCTAGAAACTCTGGCAATATTTTACAACTAAAACTTTACTGTCTATAACCCTAAGAAGAGAGAAAATACAATAGTAAAACACTAAATGCCTCATGGACCACTCACAGCTCTGAACAATGGTAAGCAGAAAATAAATTTATCTTTTGTCTCTTTTCTCCATGACTTAAGAAGCTGATTTATTTTAAATTTTATTTCTAATAACAAAGCAGCCTTGTACCTGGATCTACTCTCCCCTTGAAAATAACTAAAAATCCTAGGGGGAAAAAAAAACACAGAAACACCATCTTCAGTGCACTGGTGACTCRGGAAGAAAGTACACAATACTCAACTAGACAGAAAAGAGACATTTTCTTTATAGTTGGAATGAAACTTGACTTCACTCAGGAGACTGAAACTTCTACCCAAAAGAAAGTTGATATAACTACAACAGAAAAAAAGAGGGGTTGGAAAACCACATGATCACCTAGATGGACACAGAAAAAGCATTTGGCAAAATCCATCACCCTTTCATAATACACACACAAGTTAGGAACAAAAGGAAAATTCCTCAGCTCGATAAAGGACATCTACAAAAAAAACCACAGCTAATGCTCTCCTTAACTGGGAAAGACAGACGCTCTCCCCTCAAGATCGGGAGCAACACATCTGAAGAATGAGCAACCAAGAAAACAGATACACTGGGTATTATTCAAATTTAAATTTGTGTTTCAAAAGATAACAGCAATAAAGTGAGAAGGCAAGGGAYGGAAGAAAATATTTGCAAGTCATAATTAAGAAAGATCTATGTCCAGAATACATAAATACTCTTAGAACTCAACCAAAAAAGACAAACAATTTAAATATGAGAAACAGCAAAGACACTTATCCAAAGAAGATATTCAGATGGCCAACAGCACATGAACAGATGCTATACATCATTAGTCTTAGGRAAATACAAAACAAAAGCTCAACGATATACCACTTCACACCACTAGGATAACGATAAATTTTTAATAGAAAACATCAACTGTTGGTAAGGATTTGGAGAAACTGGAACTTTTGTACATTCCTGCATTATTTAGCTGCATTATTCACAAGTCAAAAAGGAGAAATAACCTGAACGGGGACTGTAGTTCAGTGGTAAAGCACTTGCCTGGAACGTGTGAGGCACTGGGTTCCATTCTCAGCACCACATACAAACATTAATTAATTAATTAATTAATTAATTAATAGGGGCATGCTGTCCATCTACAACTACAAAAAAAATTTTTAAAACATATAAACAACCCAAATGCCTACCAACTGATCAATAAACAAAATCTAGTATATGTACAGAATATTATTTGGCCATAAAAAGAACGAAGTACTGAAACCTGCATGCTAAGATTTTTGACAGTAAAGAACACATATCACATGATTTTACTTATATTTATAGTACAGAAATGGAAAATCCATAGAAGAAGTAAATTATTTGTAGCCAAGGAATAGGAGGAAGAGGGAACCAAGATAACTACAAATACAACAGGGAGACGAAGACGTCCTGGAATTAGACACTGAGGAGGACTGCACAACTAACTCTCTGAATGCACTAAAACCCTCTGAACTGCACACAAGAGTGAATTTTAGTATGAGAATTATATATACCACAATTTTAAAAAATGTTGGAACAAAACATTCCCAGAGATAGAGTTATCACATGATAAAAGTTTAAATTCAACAGAAACATGTAAGAACTTTTTATTTGTTTACTCCTAACAGAATAGCCTCAAATTATACAGAGCAAAAATGAACACAYGCTAAAGAGACACCAAACTCATATTCACAATCTTAACAGCAGATACTAATACACCTCTCTTATTTCTAGTACAATCATAAAAAACCAACTCTGGACACAGTGGTTAACCTCCATGTCTAACAAAGTAGGCATAMGGACAACATATGAATCAATGCCCTCAGTAATTAGGATAATACACAGCCCACAACTATAACCCCAGCTACTCAGGAGGCTGGGGCAAGAGGATTCTAAGTGACCAAACAAGATTCTGTCTCAAAATAAAAATCTTTAAAAGGGCTGAGCATGTGGCTCAGTGGTGGAGTGCTTGCCCAGTATGCACAAGCCTGTGTTCCTTAGTAGTAGAAAATATTTAAAAGATAATTTTTTTAAATTAACCTTTAAAAATTAAGAAACACCYTACTAGGGAATATTCTTAACCTAATGAAGGCTATCTATCTCTAAGGAACCTGCAGTAAATGAACTACTTAATAGGAAATGTTGAAAGCCTGTGTTCTAATGCTGATAATAAGATGTGGATGTCCCCCATCACCATTTCACTAGACTTGAGGCCTAACCAATAGAAATATGCAGGATAAAGTAGGAAGCAGTAAGAAAGACAAATAAATACAATGGCCATCTACTAGATATGACAAAACTATGCATGCATAAAATCATAAATATCTAAGAAATAAGTTATTAAAATTAATATATGGATCTAAAACAACTGATAGAGGGTCAATATATAAACGTCACTATACTTCCATATATCACTAACATACAATGAAATTTTAAAGTGCTATTTATAGTAGTACATAAGTCAGAAAGACTACTGACAAATTCAATGAATGTGCTACATTACTACAAAGAAATCTATAAATATAATTGGCAGAAATTAAAGACCTAAATAAATAAAGGATGGATTTACCATGTTCACAGAGAAAATGTCAATATTGAAAATATGTCAATTCTACCGAACTTGATCTATTTATTCATTCAGTCACAATTAAAATCCCAAGAAGACTATATATTAAAGAAGTGAAATATACGTAAATTATACCTTAAAAAAAAGAAAAAAATCTCAGCAGTTCTTTGTTTTACTTGAGTTCTAGTAGAAACTGTCAGATTCAAAAATCTGTATGAAAATGAAAAAAAAGGCTACAAATGTCCCAGAGAATCTTAAAGAAAAACAGAATGAAGTAGGAAGACTTGCTTTACCTATAAGAAGGCTTATTAAAARCTATCATGATGGTTACTGTACGGTATTGGTACAAGGACACAAAAACCCACAAACACAAGAGGTCTCAGTAGATCTTCTCACATACAGACACCACTATGAACATTCTTGCATATTTCTCCTAAGGTGTATGAGAGGATTATTTGGCAATGAAAAAAAAAAAAAGGATAGCTTTCAAAAAACAGGGAGGGGCAATGGAACGTGGATATGGACAAACATAAGGCTAACCCTACTTGTACTGTACACCCACACAAGGTTAAGGGACAGTGTAGAACCATAAGTAAAAGGTAGAACAAMGTATCTTCTATTCTGCATTTCCAACTTCACTACCCTAGTTCAGGTTCTCAAAGCTGCACACACAGGATACTATTTCCCAAGAATAACTACGGGAGGAATGACAGAAAACAAGAATTGCTCCAAGTCAGTGGTTTTCAAATACTTTGACTACAACCCACAGAAATATATTTAAACCAATACACACACACACACACACACACACACACACACTCACAAACACTTTTTTTTACCATAAAAACTACATTCTGATACTTTTCTCTTTCTTTTGTATAACATGTTTTAAGTTGTGACTATAAAACAAGATTTCATGAAGCATCAATGCATGGGTCACAACACATGATTTGAAAAACCATGCTTTGGGAAATCAATGAAGAGAGAAATACAACTTTGATGTAGTATAGCATAATAAACTTCTTGGAAAGAATTTTAAGCTAGGCTTTGTAAGGCTGAAAGTCTGGTAGATGTTATCAGATGTAATATAAYTTGCCCAAGTTGTTTGTTTCAATAAATGGCAAACTAAGTCTAAAACCTAGGTTAAAGAGCTGGGGTTGTGAAGGCATCGATAAATTCCTTAAGGCATATGAGCTACCCAGATTGAGTTAGGATGATATAAACAACCTAAACAGACCAATATCAAGTGAGGAAATAGAAGAAGCCATCAAAAGACTACCAACCAAGAAAAGCCCAGGACCGGACAGATACACAGCAGAGTTTTACAAGAACTTTAAAGAAGAACTAATACCAATACTCTTCAATCTATTT